ACTAAAGAATACCGTATAGTGTCAAATTTTCGTGGTTGAAAATTTTCGTGATTTTCGTGACTGAATGGACAATCACGAAAATATTTTTCACGAAATTTAATTTTGATATAAATGTGGGCATGTCCCATCACGCCTTTTATTTGTTTCTCGGGCACAGGCTGCACAGCTAAGAGTCTCTCCTATAAAGGGAGCCCACCTTTCTTGGTATACGTGATAGCCACGGATACACGAAGGGAATTAATATCGAATAATGCTACCACTCATGTTGCTTCTTCTCCAAGTCCAGCTGGAAGGCTAGCTACTAGCTCGCGGCCACATGGATAGGAGTGGTTTTAATCATCACGAAATTTTATTTAAATCACGAAAATTTTTTAACGAAAATTTACTTGAAAGCAAAAATGTATGAAATCACGAAAATTTTCACCCACGAAAATTTGACGCTATACGGTACTATGCCAAGGTGCATATACACTGTACATGTAGCTATCAGATAGTAGCTGTATTACTATTGATGCTGACCTCTTCTGGTTTGGGTAAGTAGGTCAGTGGTCCTCTCAGCTGCCACTCATCCCCTGCCTTACGAGCTGGAGCAGTATCAGTCTCCTCCATATCAACCAGAGCACTCAAGTGTATCCCATGATCTGCTTTTATGGTTGGAAGACACTTAATAGCACGAGAATAATCTAATGGAGAGAGAGAGAGGAGAGGGATACAGAATTAGATATACATGTAAACACTCTTTTTTTATTATTGTACATGTATGTATGTTTGTTTGTATACATTCTAGCAAGTGATTTCAGAAAAGAGATACTGTTTCCCTAGTTTATTTACAAACTATGTAAATAAACTACACTGTTATAAACATTAAGGAAATACCTCTTTCTTTCTATGTATACAAGATACAATACATTATACATTATGATACAAGATACATTATGACACGAGACTAACACATTATGTATACAGCAGAGTAACATTGTTAACATTATGTATATAGTGTCACACATAATGTGAACTATGCACTTGAGGTGGGCATTCACTTGTGATGCCTACAACATGTTGCACATCATGATCAAAGGTACTGCCTTGGCTACAGGCAATATTTTGTTTACACATTAATAATATTAATGTAATAAATTATTGCCATATGAGAATAGGGTACACAACCTATTTCCGACTAAACCAACTAATCATGAGTGATACAATGCAATGACATAAATAACTTAGGAAATGGTCAATGGGAGATAAAGCAGAGAGAGAGAGAGAGGAATAGGAAGTGTATACACACAGGACAGTATGGTGGTACTCTAATTTAAGATATGGTTTATTGTAAGACACTCCTAAATCCTTATGTTTGCTTGAAGTAGGTCCACCCCTATTACAATTCAGAGATACATCAACATGTACACATACATGTATATGTACATGTACACCAGTGTTTTTGATAAGCCAAATTGACACTCAATTGGCTCAATTCAGTTTGCTATGGGCCACAATTACCAATGCCAGTTGAGTATAATTTGCTCAGGAAATTCACAAAAAATAATGTTAATTCTGCCATTTTTACAATAAACATTAATAAATAAGAACCTACCAGTTGCACTGCCACTCTCAGGTAATCTCTCTCCAGGAAACAATGGGAAAGGATCCTAAAGTAAATGACAAGAACATTAACATTTAAGAAGTTAAACTAAGCAACTAAAGCAATAGACTTTATTAGACTATAATGAGAACATTAACATAATTTTATGCAGCAATTACAAACAATAGGAAGCATGTGTTATATCTACACAAGGGGAATTCCCTAACCTAACCTCTGATGTATGTGTGTGTGTGTGTGTGTCATCAATAGCTATGTACACACACACACACACCTCCAGGCAGGCTGGACTGTATCTACAATACATGTACATGAGTGAATGAAATATCTACAGCAAATGAGGTAGCATTCAAACCAAGTATTACATATTCCTTGCATCTTTATTACTCTCATGATCAGAGGAATGAAGTTGAGTTAGTTTATCATTAATGCTCTAAACCTTCTCTTCTACTGCTAGAGAAGTCTTTGAACAAAATCAGAAGATCAATAGTCAATATTAATAATTAAAGGGGTTTACCCGCTAAGAGAGGGTGTCCATGCCCATATAGAAATGTAATAACAATTATTATTTTAACAGAATGCATACTTTACCAAATAAGGAATGTGCTACTAGCCACACTATCCACTAATATGTAATTACATCTAGAGGCAGCTGAAGGTGATCATGAATGAAATGAAAAGGTTAAGAAACAATCACCAACACTTCAATAAACTTGTTATGGTTCATAACCAGCAGCAATTAAGTTAAGTAGATACTATAGAAATTAATGAGCTAATATGGCCTGACCAATAACCAATTAACAACCAATATTACTAGTAATATATGTACATGTATATACATGTACATCACAATTATGATTATGATTATTATTATTATTAATTACTTACTCCATGGAGTCTTATTTCTCTGTGTCCAAATCTCAGTTCGTATAACTTCCCATCAACTATTGGTTTACTATTGGGAACAGACTCAAAGTAAAGTACATGTAACCATACAACATGAACATGAATTAATGAACCACACAGTACATGTACATGTACACATGCTCGTAATAGCTACTTTATATACATTACATATAACACCTCTAGCTCTCTCTCTCTCTCTCTCTCTCTATTTCTCTCTCTCTTCCTTTACATCTACTGTAAACCAATAGCTAATTTTTGCAAGTTTAAAAAAAATTCATGTGTTCAGTTCTTAATTTGGTAATATTTCAAAAAATTAAAAATGACCCAAACTAGACCCAAATAAATATTTTCGACCTAATCCTAATCCCAGTTATACATGTACATGTACATATGCACAAGCCCCGTCCACTTACTTGATATCGATGGGATGTTCCACCCGGCAGTAGTGGCCCGGGGGGTATCGTCACAAAGGGAAGAGGACCGGCTTCAAGAGAATGATTGTCCTGTAGGACAAGATTCTGCGGTCCAATCTCCACAGTAGTTATATTAGTATTCTGTAGAGGGATAGGAAATAGAGGGAGAAAGAAGGAAATTGACATTATGTAATGCTACCAGTCTCAGTGAGTGATCTTACCAGGTCTAGTACGTGCACGTAATAGTTAGGAAGGATCCCAATTATCTTACGAGACATGGCGACTGCAGAGTCTTCTGATAAACCTGAGAGAAGTGAAAACTAGCCCTTGGCCCCTTGCCAAAATTTCTGCAATCTATCATCTAATTCCCAGATCGATCCGCCCTATATCACGTGACAATTGATGAATATTATTATAACCAGCCCCACCCTCTACCATTCTGCAAAAATATTTAGCTGCAGTATTTACTGTAAACCTATTAATATTAGCGGCTATTTTATTTAGCGTTTATGCTTAAATGTCAAATTAGCGACTATTAAATTTGGCGTATCATTAAACCTTTCCTACTTTTCTGTTAGCTGCTGCTGTTGTTCCACTGGGTTCTCCTTCCTCTGGTAGTGTTGCCGACCGAGCAGAAGAGAGTCCTCTACTAGTATAGTATCAGCATAGATACTGTATCTATGGTATCAGCGACATTTTGTGATCACGTGACCAGGTGTTTTTATTAGCGAATATTAAATTTAGCGTGTTTAGGCTCTTCGCTAATATCGCTAAAATAAGTAGCACGCTAAAATTTGGGGCCTGCCTGAAATACGGATCCACGCGGATCAAATGCGGATCAGGCTGAAATGCGGATCAACGCGGAACGCTCGCGGATCTGTATTGAAGTACGGAACAACACGGAAACTATACGGATCTTTCTACAAGAATGATAGCTATGCATCAGGAGAGAAATTTACCAGCTCTATTTGAGTCTTTGATAGGAACTTTATCATCCTTGCAGTTTCAGTACATGCAGGTAAGCTGATGCTTGTGATCACTATGTCGATAATATTAGCCTGTATTTTATGACAGTTGACTGAGATCTACAGATAAGCTGATATCCTCTTGAGCTATCCTCTTCAACTTTTGTGAACATGCAACCATTGCCTGTGATAATGAGAAAACAGACTACTACTAGATCTAACTACTGAGCAGTCAACACACTCAACATTAGCTCAGTGTGCCTTCATGCAGTCAAGAGACAAGTCAAGTTATTTTAAAGTGCTATCATGGCTGTACCCCCCAAGTTCAACATAGATGGCAAAGTGGACCATTGTCTGGGAATTCCAGTCTTTGTTTTTTTACTTTATCACTGTTATTTTCTAATTATTATTATTCATTCTGCATGACTAATAGAATTATTATATTTTTAATCTTTATTATCATTATTCAGCTAACTACTATTATTTATTCATTCCATCAATCATTCACAGTCGTATAGTCTCTTAAAATTTTACTATTAGCTATTGTTACTCATTCATCATTTTTGTTTATTGATTTAATCTCATTGTATTTCCCAATTTCAGTGTACTATATGCTTCGGTTTTATAATTGCAAAATCTAATTAAAGTGAGATGAATGTATATATATATATA